CAGAATGCTCCAAATAATTTTTGTCTGTCACTGTCACCTACGTGAAGTTGGCTTCAGCTCTCAACCAGGAGCCTGTGCACGTGCCCAAGATCTGCCCTGACCTGGAGTCCCAAAGGTGCCCTTAACGCAGATATATTTTTCCAGAAAATATCCTTGGGCCAAGCTAAGAATCCAGAAACATCACTAGGGAGGAAACAAAGACATCTCTGAAGGCATTTGAGGGTGAAAAATAATTATATAGGAAGTACAATGATCTTAATTAAATATTAGCTGTAATTAGCCCAAAGTGCAAATGTTGGGAATATTAATTAGGGTCTCTCTGGAACGGCTGTCAGTATTAATAAGTAGCTGTGGGGGGTCCCACTAACATCTGTTTGAGGACTTTGGGAGCAGGAGTGCCTTCCAGAGCCCCACGGACCTGAATGTACCTGTGGGCTCCTTGGTGACCATGGACACAACCCCTAGAGCTTGGTGCCTTGAGTTTGCCAAAATGGCCCAAGTTTGGAAGAGGTTGGTGGTTTGTCCCCAGTTGGCCCTTGCCTTTCCTAGGACAGCCTCAGAACCTTGTGAAGCTAGGCCCTGGGCTTGAGGTGGCATAGGTTTTCCAGGCTTCTGCTCTAACACGCACCAAGGGCTAGTCTGGCTAATGGAACACTGGTATTTCTGCATCGAGTACCCCAGCACCTGACTCCCCTCTCCGGTAGGTTGTAACACACCACCACCACCACATTGGTAGCGGGTCTTGAGGCCATGATGTGTGCACAACTGAGAGAGGTTTCTTTACTTCAAAATGGGAACAGACCTTTCCACCAGGTGATAGTCTTGCCAGATGAGAGATGCCTAGGTGTCAGTTCAGTTCCTGGCTTCCCTAAGAGCTACCTGTTGCTGTGATTTTGCACAATCATTTCCTAGTTCTGGACTGCAGCAAAGCAACATGGGATGAAAAGCCAATGCATGCATAGTGGGGATCCTAGGTCTTGACCCTACCAATGTTTGGGGATAGGTAATCCTGTGTGGTGGGCACTGTCCACGCATCGTAGGGTATTTAGCAGCATCCTTGGCCTCTCCCTGCTAGATATTCGCAGCAACCCTTCATCCCACTAGTAACAACCAAAAGTGTCTACACACATTGTCAGATATCCCCAGGGGAGCAGTCACCTTGTATAAGAAGTACTGTAGCAAAGCCCCCAGCACAATGCCTGGCACCTTCCAGGCCTGAGAAGAAGGCCGCATCACTCAGTGTGCCTTCTGAGCACTGGTGAGAAGAAGGCATCCCTCTCACATGAGCTTGCAAGCCTGAGGCTGTCACGGATCCTCCCCTCAGCAGCCCACTGTGTTGGGTCTAAAGCCTGTGTGTGTGCATGCATTGCTTACAGCGCACAGGTGCAGAGATGGAAAGCACATACAACCCGAAGAAGACTTTGACCCCTCCATTGGGCACACTGCCAATCCCCGACACTGCCCATCCGCAAGTTTGGCTGAGCTTCCCTCCTTGGTTTAGGGAAGAATGCAACTACTGCCAACTTTATTTCCTGCCCAAACTATTTACGCACTGGTGGCTTCTTACACGATGTCTCCATATTTAGTGATAACTTTGCCACCTTGATTAAAATACTTTTTCTGCAAAATGGTTAAACAGTTTAGGTTTTGTGGGTCTCTCACAACTGCTCAACTCTGTCATTATAGCACGATGAGCATGGCTGTGTCTCAATAAAACTTAATTTATAAACAACCAGTGGACCAGATTTACCCCATGGGTCACTTGCCAACCCCCCTATGTCCTGTTGTGAGGTTAAGCTTCTCAGAGCCCAGAGTTTGTTATTCAGGTATGCATTCATTTAGCAAGTACTTGTAAATGCCCACTTTGCAGCTAGCATGCCGCGGGACACTGGAAATGGAACGGAGAACGCGACACAGTCCCCAGCCGTGAGGACTCTCCCAGATAAAAAAGCAGGCAGTGGCAGTGCTAGGAGTTATGTGACATGTGGCCACAGGCTACGATGGAGCATAGAGGACACAGAGTGGGCCTAGAGTCAAGGAAGGCTTGCTGGCAGACTTGGCCTGGGACCTGAAAGGACAATCAAGACTAGGAAGTAGAGAGGGTTTTTGAGGCAGAGAGACAGTGAATGGGTAGACGTGATGGGTGTTGAGAGTACAGAGTGACTGTTGGCTTCCTGAGGGCAGACCTCTCTCCTTGTGATGCAGAGAGCCCACATTCTAACAGAAATCCCTATGGGGGACAGGTCACTCTTCCTGAGATTGTTCTGCTGTGTGGAAAGGCCACATGGGCCTGTGTATCCCCATAAAAGTGCCTTCTGCTGGAGGTAGAGGAAGGAAAGCTGTTTCTCTGTGTGACCATCTCTCCGTTGTTGCTTATGGGATCATTTCACGCTCCCCTATGGGGCCACACCTGGAGTTTTCACAAGTACGGCTTTTAATCCAAAGATGCTCCAGATCAAAGGTGGGTGCTACTGAAACAGACCTTTGGGCAGAGGTAGAATCTGACACAATGAATTTCCCTCTGGAGGGTTCTCAGGGTCCCAAAGCTTCTGGGGCTTCCCATCAGCCAGAAAGAAGTGGCCCCATGTAGAATTTGTGCACGGAGGGATATGTTCCTTGAGCAGCCCTGGAGAAGAGAGGATGTTAGTCGGCTGATAGACGGGAGAGGATGTTTTTGTTCTTACTGGTCCAGACTCTTTTGGTTGTAAGTAACAGAAAAAACTATCTTATGCAAAATGAGGCATTTACTGAGTCCTATAAGGAAAACAAACGGTGGTGCTATTAACTGCAGGTAATGCTGGATCCAAGGACTCACATGATGTCACTGGGACTCAGTTGACCTGTTTCTCAATTTCTGGGCTCTGTTTCCCTCTGGGTTGGCTTGTGCCCTAGGTGGGTCCCTTTCAAGTGGCAGTTGCTGGCAGCTCCAGGGCTACATTATTTTTACAGCTGCCAATCCCAGAGGAAAGAGGGCTTCTCCCCTAAGCTCCAGGGAAGCTCCAGGATTAAGCCTCCTTGGCATAACTGGAGGTTAACTCACTAACTGGCTTAGGTGGATGGGCATGAGTCCATGTCCCCGGGACTGTGACCATGGAACCCTCTGATTAGCCAGGGTCATGTGACTGTGTGACATGACTGTGTCTGGAGGTCACCTGAGACAGGTCACCTGAGACAGGAGGTCACCTGCAGATGCCTGGCCCCATCTGCACTCTGTGGGCTGAGAGTGGAAGTGTCCCCTAGAAGGAAACCAGGTGTTACTCCTGAAGAAAATACCAATGCACACGAAGCAGCAATGGCAGTGAGTGTCCCCTGGGGCTTCCTGAGGATGGTCAGGGTTCACCTCCCAAGGGCAGGGATCCAGCCACGCACAGACTCTACACAGCCCCAAACGCAAGGAAAAGATGTTAGACAGAAAGCAAGCAATGGCTGTGCATTTCTGCTTCCAATGGCACAGACATTTGGAGACATTCGTCTGGGGGAGGAAAGGGCGTGATGGGAATGTTTTCACTTGTAAAATGTTTTAAACTTATCCTAAGCTTAGTTCTCTTCAAAGTGTCATCTTTAACATTCTAATTAAGGGCCCTTCTAAACAAATGCACAAGCGCTGCTCGCGCAGCTCCAAGAATAAACTTTATTTTATTTTTTTATTTTTTTGGTCCCTTCTCCGTCATAATGTTGTTGCTGCACTCAGGTTGCGTTAGCTGGAGAGGCTCTCGAATGTTGGTGGCGGGGACCGAGGAGACATGAGCTTTTCTGACATTTTTGCCCTGGTATCATTCTATGAGGGCTGAAGTCACATCTAATTGACCACAGACAATGGGAGAGGCAGCTATTTGGTGTGCTTAATTGCTATGCTTCTCTCTCTCTCTCTCTCTGACTGTGCAAAATCTCATTTCTTGAGACCATGAAAAATTTGGACCTCTGGGTTACAGTCTCTGGTGCAGTTTGCATGTGTGCATGTGTGTGTGTGTGTGTGTGTGTGTGTGTGTGTGCAGGGTAGTAGGTTAGGAGGGTACAGGTGGGGGAATAGAGAGAGATGGATGTTTCCTGAAATGGAAGCATTTGAATTCAGGGTTGGGTTTTTTTTTTTGCTTTTTTTTTTTTTTAATTCCTTTGACTGGAAGGGTGAATTGTTACATAATACTCTATGCTTATAAAAATAATAATAATAATAATAATAATAATAATAATAATAATAATAAGTCAGGGGGCAAGGGGAGGCATTGACTAATGAGGTTAAGGCCAGCATTTTGTAACAATACTTAAAATGGTGAACACAGAATCCCAGAGTGCCATCTTTGTCCAAATTAGGTCTTGAATTTCCATTGGCTGCTTCATTATTGGCGCTGGGAACATTTACACACACACACACACACACACACACACACACACACACACACTGTGACCATTAAAGGGACCCCCCCATCCTATTATGTGAGCCAAGTCACATAAAACTTTGATTAAATTCAAATGCTTAGATGAATTGTCTCTCCTCTCAAGAACACACACGTTCAATTTAATCTCTCTTGGCATTTTAAGTATCAAATCAAGGCTCTGCTGTCACTGGAGACAACTACATGCTCACATGTTCCAAAATAAGAATGAAATACGGAGGATCTGCCAGAGAAATCTAATCGGGCAGAGCGCAGGCCCTCCCAGTCTTTGGCTATGGGGCTGGAAGGCTTGGAGGGAAAGTGAGGCCCCTTCCTGAGCCTCGGTTTCTGCATCTGCGCAATGGGTTATGCCTGTATCAATGCGGAGCACAGATACATTCTCCCTGGGGGCTGCTGAGGATGGAGTGGGATGCGTCCCAGTAGGGCTCCTGGCACAGTGGGGGCACCTGTGCACCTGCACACCTGTGCACCTGTGCAGCATCGGGGGAGCGCTCATCCTTGGGCCCTGGGGAAGGGGTCTGCTCACAGGGTTCTCATTTCTCTCTCTCTCTCTCTCTCTCTCTCTCTCTCTCCCCTATCCCCCTTTTGATTTTTTTTCCTTTTTAGGGTAATCAAGAAGCAGCAGCTGCCCCGGACACAATGGCTCAGCCTTACGCATCGGCCCAGTTTGCACCCCCCCAGAACGGCATCCCCGCGGAGTACACGGCGCCTCACCCCCACCCCGCTCCGGAGTACACGGGCCAGACCACCGTCCCCGAGCACACGTTAAACCTGTACCCTCCCGCCCAGACACACTCGGAGCAGAGCGCCGCGGACACCAGCGCGCAGACCGTGTCCGGCACCGCAACAGTAAGTGGGTGTGGGCCCAGGTGGGTGGCCGCGGGGTACACCCCACCCCACGGGGCTCCTGGGGCCTGGCAGCCCCCAAGCCTGCAAAGTCCACCTGCCTAGAGGCCTCTGCCCTGTTACTTGCTTAAATCCACACATCTCTCCCCAGCCGCCTTTATTCTGAAAAGGGAAGCTTTCAACTAAATGCTCTTGCTGTTGCCTTGCCTTCTCTGGAAGGGGGTCCTCTCTCGGTAGAATCATACATGATGTGATTTTGACAGCTTTGTGGAGGTGTAATTTGTATACCAGAAATTCACCTTTTTTTTTTTTTTTTTTTTGGTGTACAATTCACTGATTTCTAATAGACTTGCAGACTCGTGCAACCCAAACCCAAGGACATCATCTAATTTTGGAATATTTCCATCCTCCAGAAGGAAACCCCATGCCCCTTTGTAGCTCCTCCCCAGCCCAATGCTTGTACTCTTCAGCTTCTCCAGCTTTCTTCATTCCTTTGAGATTTACCTGTGCTGTTCTGTGTTTTGAGGAAGCCATAGGGTGAGCAAAGCCTGGGCTGCAAAGGGGCAGCACCAGAGAATTTTACAGGGTCACGGAATGTTCTGTATTTTGATGGTGGCTCTTTATACTACTTTGTGCACCAAAAAGGGTCTATTTCATTGCATGTAAATGCTTTCAGTGGATTAAAAACAAGCAAACAAATGAAAAAGAAACATTTTATCACCACCATAAGTTAAAAACTGGCATTGTTGGCTATTAATCAAACATAAGCCTAAACAAAAATAATTATTAAAATTAAACACTTGCTCGTCTGTGTGTGGCCTGAAATAACCATGCATACCACAAGATGTATATGTTCATTTGAGACGCCTTGTTCTGTGGAATTCTTTAGATGTCTGGGTACACCAAGCCTCTAGTCTAGAACATTTTGCAGTAGAAAGCACTCATGCCTCTTTCTCCTGCCCCCAGCCCTCCAAAAAACCAGTATTTGTGAAGGAATTTCACGGTTTGCAGCAGGAGATTATTTCTGGGACCTCAAAGTAACCATTTACTGCTTTGCTACCTGGTACTTCATTTCGAGGTCGGGTTTGGAGATTTTTAAAAAATAACATACATTCTAACATGGTCTATTGCCTATCTCCCCCTTTTTTTATTATGGCAAAATATCTATATGATATGGAATTTGCCATTTCAACCATTATTTTAATGTATATAACTCAGTAGGATTGAGAAGATTCACAGTTCAATGCAACCATCACCATCTCTAGTTCCAGAACATTTTCATAGCCCCAAAAGGAAACCCCATACCCATTACAGAAACACTTCCCATTCCTACAAATGCACTTTCTATCTGTATGGATTTGCCCATTCTAGATATTTCTTAAAAATGGGATAACCTTTTGCAGCTGGCTTCTTTCACTTAACACAATGTTTTCAGGGTTTCTTCACACTGTAGCATGTATCACTACTTTGTTCCTTTTTTTTTTTTTTATTTTGTTCCTTTTTATGACTGGATACTATTCCATCACATGGCTATGCCACTTATTTGTCCATCTATTCACTGATGGGCATTTGGGTTGTTTCCACCTCTGAGTTTTGTGAATAGTGTTGCTCCTGCCTATTTATATCTGGCTGTTCAGACTTGGGGACAAGTCTATTAAACGGGTTTGTTGGTCTACCAGTTGTCTGTTATTGGCTGTGTTAACCTACAAGGTTGGTCTTTATTTGGTTTTGGTCATTTTGTGACAGTCAATGTTGGTAGGGCTTCAGAAGGTTACTTTAGGACTGAAAATGATATATAATAATGTCTAATCAGACTTTATCTCTTAAGCCTCAGTATGTGCCATCTCTATTGACCTGCTGTGGAAGATTCATTTATTCATGCATATTTTTAAGCATCTGCTATGGCCAGGACTTATTCTAGGCAACGTGGCTGAACTGAACAGAAATGATCCTTTCCCTCTTATGACTTAGTTTGAGAGTCAGAGAGTGAACATGTGTCAATCAAACAGCTGTATGAACACAAACTGTGATACATGCTCTCAAGGAAAAGGCAGACGCCATGGAGGATTAAGAAGTGCGGGGCTACTCCCTGCAGATGAATAGTCTGGGACTCTTTCTTTAAGAAGATGATATTTAAGATGACAAGATAAACGTTCTAGGCAGAAGGAATACCAAGGTCAAGGTCCCAAGGTTGAAAAGATCTGGGATTGTTCAAAGAACTAAAGAGAGTCCCGTAATATGTCTGAGGCACATGAAGAAGGTCCGGGGGTACAGTGGCAAAGGATGAAATGGGAACAATGATGAGGGATCATATCCTGCAGGCCTCGTGGGTCTGGTAAGTGGGTGGAATTCCACATTAGGAACAAGAGGGAGCCACTGAAAAAGTTTAAGCTGGAAGAGTTATAAAATGAAATTTTAAAAGGAAGGGTTAATGATGCGTACCTAAAAGGAAATCTTAATCCAGTTGTGATGCTCAACATTCTTCTCTCACAAAACAACAACAACAACTCTTTAGAGATCAACACAAATTTAAACAGGGTGTTGGGTATCCGTGGTACCCAAGGCTCTGCAATGCCATGAAACGGTGAGCAGATATGCTTTATTTTCTTAGAGAGATTTTTGGTCTGCAAGAGAATATAGGGTATGTGTTCTGTTATTATTGTAATGTGATAAGCTCTCATGCATGGATTTTTAGCTTAGTGTATTTCAATGATGGAAGAAACACTTGCTGAGGGATGTGCCTCAACACCATAGTTGAGGGGATATACATTTCATAGTCTTCTGGTTGCTGCTAGTAATAGAAAATTCAACAGTAAATGTATCAGCTTCTACAACAGTCTCAAAGGAGGGCTGACTTTAGACATAGCTTGGTGTGCAGAATATGCATGTCAGGTTCCAACAGGATCCATCTCTGGCTCTTCTTCCTCTCACTCACCTCCATTCTCTAGTTTTGTGTGATGGTCCCTGCAAATTCAGGCTCCTGATATCATGCCAGATGCCTAGGGAAAGACTCTTGGATAGTCCCATGCAGACAAGCCCGGGGAATCACTCTCTCTCCAGGGTTTGCACGGTGTTGTATCTGTTCAGTGGCTAAGGCTGAGAGCCCTGGAGCCACTGAGGAGCCCCATACCCAAATGTAGAGACCAAGGGCAAGTTCCATCAGTCATTGACAATGTGCTCTGGATCTTCTCACTAAAGGTATTAAACAGCCAGAAACTGGTCAGAGCGAAGGGTAAGCCATTTGTATGGAGAGGCTTGAATAGATTTGCCAAGCATAGGGAATGGAGAGAAGGGGAGGCAGATTGCTTAAAAACTCACAGGCGGGCAAGGTTTGGAAGGCAAGGAGCTGTTGAGTGAGACGTGAATGGAGTCTCCAGACTGGAGGTTGAACGGGAAGAGTGTTGTCAGGGCAGCCTGACAGGTGTAACCCCAGAAGACATTATCAAAGCGGGCATCACTGGAGACAGGGAGAAGGCAGTACACCTAGAGTGTTGGGGAGAGATGCCAGGGGGCCAGGACTTGAGACACAAGTGGGAATGTTTGGGGTTGGATGTACTACTGCCATCATAAACACTTGTAGTCAAGAGAGAGAGAGAAAAGATAGTGACCGGAGGAGCATAAGAGTCCCGAGGAAGCAATTTGCACAAGAAGGGATTTGGGTTCCTATTTTATGCCAAAGAGAAGGCACCATGGGAGCAGGTGGAGGGACAGGGATTGATGATTCAGGAGAGAAGGTGACTAGGGGTGTATACCCAGAGCACGTAGTCTAGGAAAGGAGAAGCAATATTCTTTTACAGCTTTATTACTATGTAATTGACGTACAATAACCCATGTGTATTTAGTGTGTACAATTTGGTGAGTGTTGACATATGAACAGATGCTGTAACCAACATACCCATCACCCCCAAAGATTTCTCATAGCCCACTACAGTCTTTCCTCCCTGCCCTCTACCTCAGTCTCTGGGTGGAAGGGGGCTGCCCCACAGATTTGCTTCTTTCACTATAGCTTAGTTTTTAGTTTCTAGAATTTTACAGTTACAAAACCAAACATTATGTATTCTTTTCACCTGGCTTCTTTCCCTCAGCATCATTGCTTTTAGGTTCACCTGACTTGTTCAACAAATCAGTAGTTCACTTCTTTTCATTGCTGGATAGGAAACTATTGAGTAGATGTGCCACAATTTGTTGATCTGTTTACTCGTGGGTAGGTATTTGGGTTGTTTTGAGCTTTTGGCCACTACAAATAAGGCTCCTATGAAATTTGGGGGACATTTCAGTTTTGAAGCAGAAGAAAAGGGTTTTGGCCCATTTGGGTGGTTGTAGCAGAATCCCACAGACTGGCTCACAAACAGCAGAACTGTGTTGCTCACAGATCTGGAGGCTGTTAGCCGCATGAGGGCCCCTTCCTGGCTATTAGCTGGTGCTTTCTCACCGTGTCCCCACATGGCAGGAAAGGCAAGGGAACATTCTGGGTCTTTTTTTATAGGAACACTAATCCCATTCATGAGGTCTCCTGCCCATGACCCCAACACCCCCAAAGCCCCCCACCTCCTAACACCATCACTGGGGCTTTAGGATTCCAGCATGGGGATGGGGGGAGGCACAAACATCCAGACCACAGCAAGAAGGAGGAGTGAATGAATGTGTAAGGAGACAGAAATCTCAAAGTCAGGAAATATTGTGAGGAGCTCCTTCCCTGTTGCCTTCATGTTCTCAGTGATGGGGTCACCATCATCAGCTGACAGAGAGGAACAGAGGGGTTTGGGAGCAGTAGAATGATTTCTGAAATTAGACAAACATGCCAAGAATCTGGCTCAGATGATTCCTAAAGGTATTTGAGGGGTAATGAGTGCCTCTCTGAGCTGGGACAGTGTGAATTTGTAGAGCGTTGTTTAGCCAGCCCCTTTGTCTTCTCCAGTGACACTTGGGTGACACTTGCCATCCCAGGAAGTTTCAAAGGAAGGGGAACCATTCTAAACTGAAGCAGGGGGCTTGCATGACAT